GGAGTCCTTTCAGGTTCTTGGGGGAAGCTGTTCAAACACCCCCCAATTCCCAAGCTTTCAATCTGGGAGTGAGGCTAAGGTATCCCTGGTAAGCAGAGGGACATCTGTAACCCATGGCTGGCCTCTCCCTCTGATGCTTATACCCCAGGGCCTGCTTTCTTAGCAACCCATTTTACCCAGTACTAGAAACTCTTCCTGCCCCATAGCAACATCCCCTCTGCCCAAAAGCCAAAGTTCTTGTAGGGCGGTCCCCTTTCCCTGCAGTCAAAACAAATTAACCCTGGGGGAGGGTCACTTTCCCCAGCCCAAAATGGGGTTCCCACAGTCCTGGGCTTGACCTCCCCATGCAGGGCGTCTTTGATAACCTGGGACTCCCCTGTTCCCTGAGTGCTCCGGGAAACCAGGCAAGTCTGCCCATCCTTGCTCCTGGAGGCAGCCCCATCTTATGTGCCCATCCTGCCCACAGTCTGTGGCCAGCATTGAACTAGCCCTGTCTGCGGTGGGTCAGGGTGAATCTTTCCAGTCACTGGCTCTCCTCAGTGCATCACTGTGGGTGCCTGGGCACTTCCAGCAATGGGAGCTGGAACACCCTTGGCTGTTCCTGGCCATCCAGACACCAGCTTGGGAGAGTGAATGTCCCTCCAGCATGGAAGGTGTCTGTGCCGTGCTCCTCTGTCAGCCCTCCTGGGCAAGTCTCAGAGCCGGGGTGACAGACTTTGGCTCATGCAGTTTGTGCTACAGCATTAAACACAGCTGTGTAGATGTTGCGTGTGGGGCTGGAGCTTGGGTTTGAAGCCCCCCCTGCTCCCTGGACTTAAAAGCCTGAAATTCAGACTGAGCCAGAAGGTCTGTACGGCTCTTTTTAGCGCCATAGCAGGAGCCTCACAAACCTCAGTCTGTGGACTGAGCTCTGGGACTCGCTGCTGCGGTCTGTGTAGATGAACCCAAAGTGTCTCCAGAGTCTGGGTGTGAAGGTTCCCAGCGTGTTTGACTCAGGGCTGGTTAATGAGAACAAAGGGGGGTGGCTGGTGCTGTCGTTAGATGGACACACCTGAGCTCCTGAGGATCTGAGACGGTCTCTGTGACCATTATCCTCTCTAGGAGACATCCAGGTGCAGCTGCAGAGGGTTTGTGCCACTCACAGAGTCTATGGGACAAATCTCTCTGGGCAGAGAGTTCAGGCTGGAGCCAAGTCTCCATTTTCAGCCTGATGTCGGGTGAGATCAGGGTCTGGAGGGGGGAATTTTTCTAGCAAGGGCAAATTTAACAGCAGCTCTGGAATGTTTCATAGCTGATGCCCTGAGCATGGCCTGCCCGTAACTCTGTGTTTCTGGGGATGCTGACAGTCACTCAATGCAAGTCTCTGGAGTTTGGACTCTTAAGTTGCTCAGACAGGTTTGCAGTGGGGCTGGGAGAAATGTTTTGGAGAAATAGTTTGTATTTTTGGTTCGATTGAAACTAGTCCTGAATCCATGCTGAGTTTGCTGACTAGTTTCAATGAACAGAAAAAGGTGCCCCCTGTATGATGTGCAGTGGGAATTAGAATGTGGGTCTCCTCCACCCTCAGGTAAGGGCTGGAACTGCTGCGCTCCAGCCTCGGTGTCTGACGTGGGGCTCCCTCAATCTCTCCTGCTGAAGACGTCCCCCTGTGTCTAAACAGCCATGGGCCCTGGGCCAGAGCATGGGAGTGAGAATGACTCTGCAGCCCAGTGGGTCGGGCCCTACCTTGGAGCCCAGAGTCCAGCTCCCCTGCTCCTGTGACTCTGTAATTACTAACCTATAACCCCCGTGAGAGGAGAGGTTACGGCCCCTGGCACAGCAGTGTCTCAGGTCGTGTCTGCCGGGGTTTCCTTGCACCGATGTAGCTGCCCAGGTGCAAACCCCTTGTGCAGAAGCGCTGCGCAGGTATGGATTGGGACTGGCACCCGATGCATCATCTCCCAGATGGAGGGGGCAGAAAGTGAGGAAATCCCCCCTCCAAAGCAACAGATTCCCTGGGGTCTGCCCCATCCCTCATATGCCTCTGCCTCCCAGGTGCCTGTGACTTCACAGTACCACTTGGCCCTTGCTTCTATTCATCTGTAACCCCAGTGAGGGGAGGGGTTACGGCAGGGGATGGACACTGACATAACCCAGCCAGTCTCCTCTGACTTTAGCGCAGGCAGGAAGGGGTTAAGCCCTAAGGATGCATTGTGCACCAGGGCCCAGCGAACCTGACTGCAGGGGCTTCAGCGAACAGGGGCCAGAGAGGTGGCTCAGCAGGGAGGATGCCTAGGGGATGGAGTAGCTCCACACTCCCTGGGAGCAGGACCCTGCCCCTGGGGCTGCTGTGGAGCCTGCAGGTTTGGGGCGTGAACAAGCTGGAAATCACTCCGCCCCACCACCACCACTCCAGAGCTTAGCTGAGGAGAGGAGAGGCTTCCTTGTGCTAGCACTGGGGGGCGTGGGGGAGGTTGGCACATGCAGGGCTCGGCTCCTCCTGGCTAGTGCCCTGGGCCAGAGGGTCTTGGGCTTTCCCAGAGTGCTGGCCCAGCCAGAGGTAGTGAGGGAAGGAAAGAACCTGCCGGCCAGGCCTCTGGTGAGCTGCTGAGCACTCGGATCAGGGGCTGCTTCATCACACAGTGCTGAGAGCAGGATGTGCCCCGCTGGGGGGCAGCAGATATGGAGGAGCAGTGGGGCTGGGGGTGGGGGAAGGGGCAAAGCAGGGAGAGGACAGCGTGAGGGGGAACACGTAAAGGGCCAAGGGGTGGGAAGTAGAGGTGATGTGTTACCAGCTGCTGCCTGGCACCAGCTACCACAGCTCGCAGCGCGCAGCCCGCACTGGCTGGAAATGGGACAGGGGGCAGGGTCCTGCTGGTTGAGAGCTGGCACACAGTGGGGGCTGCACTGATGGACCAGCAGGGGGAGAGTCCGGCCCTGCGTTCTGCATCTTTGCCCCACCACCAGCCTTGCAAACCTACCCCCATCTTCAGCCACTGTCCACCTCCTCCTCACCGCTGGTGGGTGGGCATCTGGTGAGCAGGGATCCAGACAGCAGCAGGACCTGTCTGTCAGTACTTATGGGGCGGAGACAGAAAATACGGGACAATTTGCCCATTTTTAAGAAAAAGCTGGGACACCGGAAGGAGGGACTGTCCCTTTCAAAAAGGGACGTCTGGTCACCCTCCCCCTGAGGGGAGTTAGGGCCCATCTGCCTGTGAGGAGACAATGAGCCAGGAAAGGGCAGGGAGAGTTGGGGTGGGGGTGGGAAGGTGTCAGTGGGGGTGGCAGGGAAGGGGACAGGCTGATGCTGGGAGAAGAAAGGAGAGGGGCCAGTGACAGGAGCAGAAGGGGGAGGGGAATAAAGGAGGGGCAGGCACAAGGGCAATGGGGTACAAAAGGAGTGGGCACCAGGAGGTGGAAGGGATGAGGGGTGGGGCAAGTGCCGGGACCATGGGGTGGGGGAGCGAATGGGCAGGCACCCGGGACAAGGACCTGGGGATTACAGTGGACGAGAAGCTGGATATGAGTCAGCAGTGTGCCCTCGTTGCCAAGAAGGCTAATGGCATATTGGGCTGCATTAGTAGGAGCATTGCCAGCAGATGGAGGGAAGTGATTATTCCCCTCTATTCAGCACTGGTGAGGCCACACCTGGAGTACTGCATCCAGTTTTGGTCCCCCCAGTACAGCAGGGATGTGAACAAATTGGAGAGAGTCCAGCGGAAGGCGACAAAAATGATTAGGGGGCTGGGGCACATGACTTACAAGAAGAGGCTGAGGGAACTGGGGTTATTTAGTTTGCAGAAGAGAAGAGTGAGGGGGGATTTGATAGCAGCCTTCAACAACCTGAAGGCGGGATCCAAAGAGGATGGAGCTCGGCTGTTCTCAGTGGTAGCAGATGACAGAACAAGGAGTAATGGTCTCAAGTTGCAGTGGGGGAAATCTAGGCTGGATATTGGGAAACACTATTTCACTAGGAGGGTGGTGAAGCACTGGAACGGGTTACCTAGGGAGGTGGTGGAATATCCATTCTTAAAGGTTTTTAAGGCCCAG